AGATTTATATAAATTTATATATTACTAATTAAATTAATAAGATTTAGAATATAAAATAATATAATAATATAATAATATTATAAATTAATTAATAAAATTCAAGTTAAAATATATAATAATAGTATAAAATAATTGGATAAAAATATGAATTATTGTTATTTGATAAAAAATATAGAAAAGTAAAAAAAAAGTTTAGAAAAACTATTACTATACTTTTGAAACAATATGTAAAAGAAATAATAAAGGATAAAATAATAATAATATATAAAAAAATATAAAAAATATTGAATATATTTATTTTATTAATTACTTTAAAATTTATATAATAAATTATTTTTAAATTTTAATTATAATAATTTATTATTATATAAATAAAATAATAAACTTTTATACTTTTTGATTTATTAATTATTAAGAAAATCAAAATCAAAATTTATTTATAAAATTAATATACTATATTTTTATTTATTTAAAAAATTTAAATTTAAATATTTCAATAATTATAATAATTAATAAAATTATATATATAATAAAATATAATAAAAATTAAAAATTTTGTCTTATATAAAAGTTTTCAATTTTATTAATAAATATTATTATTTTTATATTAAAACAAAAATTATAAGTTATAAGTTTAACTAAGGTTGCTTGCCAAAATCTCTTAGTGACTGTCTAAATTATAATAAACTATTAGTAAATAACCTATCAAAATTCTGACAAATTTTGAAACCCGTCGTAACTGAAATTATGTCAAAATTCTAATTAATAATTAGTATATAACCTGTCAAAATTATGATAATATTTTTCTGAAAGAGTTTAGGCAAGCATCCTTAAGTTTAACATATTTTTTTGAATTTTTCTGATAAAGTTGTTCTAATTGCAAAGTTATTGCAAAAATTTTTTATAATTAATTTTATATTTTAATTATAAAAAATTTTGCAATAATCTTGCAATTAGAACAACTTTATCAGAAAAAATCTAGAAAATTCAGAAAAAATATAGGTTAAACTTATAATTTTTGTTTTGATATAAAAATAATATTTATTAATAAAATTAAAAAACTTTATATAAGATAAAATTTTTAATTTTTGCTATATTTTATTAATAAAATTGCATGTATAATTTCATAATTCTGTTAGTAACTGTGACAATTTTTTTAGTTGATAAAATTAAATATACTTTAAAAATATAAAAAATTAGTTAATTCTGATTATTAATTAATGAAATAATTAAATTTTATATTTTTAAATATTTTAATCTTTTAAAATTATATTTTTAATATGTTTTTTCAGTTTTATTAATAAATTTTTTAATTTTAATTTTTTCAATAATTAATAAATAAAAAAATATTAATTTTTTTATTTTGATTTAATAAAAATAATTTATTATATAAATTTTAAAGTAATTAATAAAATAAAAATGTTCAATACTTTTATACTGCTAAATATTCACCCTTAAGCTATAAGTAAGAGCCTAAACTAAGAATTATAAAGATGAAAGATAAATAACATTTTCTTAAAAATATATTGATAAAAATCATATATTAAAGCAAATACAAGTAGATTTGATCTGTAATAAATTTCTAACAGGATTAAATTGAATAAAATAATATAATCTGCACTAACGCATGACACCTATATGTATTGTATGTTTTAAGTTCTATAACTTAATTAGGAGGTAAACCCGTAATTATATCAAGTTTTGTAATTAGAACTTAAAATTCACTCTATTTTGATTATAGGCGTTACGTACCATAGTATATGTATGACAGAATACAAATATTTGTAAACTTGATTCGGAAAAAGGGAAATCAATAAGTGAAAATTCGGCTTTATATTGTGTTTTAGTGTTAGTAGTGGATTAGAACCGAATGTTATTTGTTTATTTTAATTTTTACTTTAGCAGCACTAATAAATAATTAAATAACTTCAATTATACAGTTCTAAAGATTTTATCATTTGAATAATTTAGTTAGAATTTCCTTTCTTGATTGCAAGAGAAATAGTAAACTATGCGAATGGCAAATCCATTTATGATTTTAGGCACATTTCAACTTCTATTAAAAATAATTGTCATTACGATCTGCTATATTCTAAACATCGAAAAGCTCTATCAATTCAAAATCGTAAGCATAAAAAATTCAAAGCCAAAAAAGCACATGTAATTGAGTTTGAAACTTCTAAAATGCAATTCGGCTAGGCATGTCATGTGTGTGAACCACTTTACATCAGAAAATTTTTCACTGTTTTAGCCCAGTCTGAAATTGGGATATAGTCATGTGAAATATCCATAGTATTATCGAAGCAGATCTCTGACCAAGTTCCAGAACGAGCCAAATTCCTGAACATACATATACCCCTAGTCTAGAAACTTTCATGTATAGTCGATCAAGGAACATGAAACAATTTTTCGATTATATAATGAGACCTGATTATATAAATCAAACAAGTTACACGTCATCTGTCAAATTTGATATTGGTACCAAAATTATGCTTGATTATCTAAGAAATACTTCATTATATCCATGCCTATCATACATTCTCGCAATGAGGATATTAACAGTCGCAAGCAATGAAGATCAAGGTCGAATACTGCGATTACAAACAAAAATTTTAAAAACTAAAGATAAGCAAGTAAATGAACGATCATCTTATTCCCACGCCTTTTCACCTGATCTTTGCTATTACACATTCAAGTGGAATAATTTTGATTTAGACATAACTTTTGCAGAGAGATTGTAAACGTCCAATATGATATTTCTATTTTCGCCTTAAAGCCCCTGTAGTAATCTTTATTATATTATGGCGGCGAAATGATTTTTACAGGGTCACTTGATACGTATTACGTACTTCTGGCGAATTACAAACAAACAATAGCTCTTAAATATGTACCACACAATATCGTCATCGAAAAATTTTTGTAAATAGTAATTTTTATTAACGTTGTTTTTCAAAGGTTTAATTAATAAACAAAAAAAACTTGTTCGAGTTTATTTATTATTTAAAAAAGGCATTATCAGCGGATACCTTGTGTCTTAGAATCACATACTAATAAGTCGGACCAATTGAACTTCATGCCTTATAAATTTGAATTCTTTGCACCCCGTGCCAGATTTTATCGCTTAACAATGTTGGTCCATCATTTATTATCATTAAGTGTTATTACATAATAAATTTAATTGGTGTACTGATTTATGCGTGTGCAAATATCAAATTTTGATTTGAAATTCTCACCTGCTATGGGAAACAAAATTTTCCTTGTGCTTGTACACACTTATTCGTACTATTAGTAATAAGAGTTGTTATCTTGCTGAAATCTTGATGATAAAAAACAAAGCTACATTTTAGTGCATAATGCAACAGATAATCCTTTCCAACAATTGGAGTTTTATGAATAAGTCTCATTGTACAACTGAGAATCAATCAAAATCAATCAACATCAACCTACGTAATAATACTTTATTTATATTGTTTTGTTTCTTAAAATCATATTCTCTGTTCTATTAATGTGTCGCTCCCACGCCGCTGATGAATGTTCTCAACGTCGGTATCGCACGCACGGTCTGCTTGTTGCATGTTTGTTAAACGCGGGAACAATCAGGGGAAGGACCATTTTTGCGTGTTGATTTATATTGTTATGAGTATTTAATTCGTTGCTCACGTGTCTGCTGCTGGTATTATTATATAAATTAACGAATTACCTTATGCTTATCGTGTTTTACGGTTTAAAATACCCCGGGAGGATGTTAGAAGGTTTGTTGTACTATCGGGTTGGTAGTACAATACCTATTTAAAATATCCGAGTGCGATAGAAAAATCGCCTGCAAGATAAGGGGGTATTTTAAACCGTATTCTCAAAAATAATGATGATAATTCGGCGTAAATAAATGCATAGTTACTTTGATACTTTCTTCGAACTTTGGTTCATTCTATAAAGAAAAAAAAAACGATTGGTTCTTTACCATACCATCCATGTCGTTCAAATATTTTCCTTTTTATGTAAATTTTATATTAGACGTCAAAAACTATTGCAGAAATTATGTCTGTGCATATGTTTATTTACGTTTTGTGATTTCGTTAATAATTACAAGCAGCGTGCTACTTGATAAGATTCTAATTGGTCATTAGTAAATTTTTAAATTGACGTTTTACATAAGACACCTGATTCATAGTATTGATTGATTGTTATGCAAAAAAATGACGTAAACTGGTAGTCAATGAATTTTGTTGATTTCAATACATAGCATATTTCTAAATAAATGTATTATTCACGCCCGGAACATCCTTACTTTACCCCGCATCTTTAATCAATTAATCAACGGCATAAATGAAAACAATAATAACGATAAACGTTCGCTGATATGCTGCCAAGTGTTCTTCCCACTAAGCCTATCCAAATTAGTGGTCAATGCTTCCATTATTGTCATCATTATAACATTAATCGAGAAGAATGGGCGTCAGTCAATCAATTCTTTGTTTAGGTTAATGACGTGTTGGTAAAAACTGGATTTATTCAGCCCTCTCGCATAATCAATAAACTGTATTTCACGTGTACTCTCAATTCAGTAATTGCAATGATTTCGATGTTTCAATGCTCATTTTTATTTTGTCTTTCGTAAGTCGTTAGTTTTACTTTACATTTCTTTTATCTTAATTATTTCGTGTCTCAAGAGATTGTTGTAGTGATAATTATCTTAGAATATAGCGAAAATCTTGTAAAGAAATGTCACAATAAAAATTAACTAATTAATCTACTCGAGAAATCGTGTTTGTTTTTTTTCGGTTTGTGTTAAGACGATAAGATGCAGTTTTTTTACGAGCGAAAGAAAAGAGGATCATAAAAAATTTACTCGTTCTTTTGTATCGATGCCAATTATTTAAAAAAGAAAAAATGTAAATATGAATTTTTTCTACAGATTATCTACAAAAAGCAGTTTACTGCTTCAATTGATTATGTATTTCGAAATAATAAAAAGTCCACGAGAAAAAGTGAAATAATTTTTATGCAGTTGTCATTCGAAAGCCTCGATTCACGTGATGGTCCTCTTGCTTAACCAAGATTGTATTCATCGATGATGATGACGCTGCTGTTTGCGGAAGCGGAGGGTACATCTGTTCGGTAGGCTCATTTTGACGTATTAATTGATAATGATCTGGATTTTGTTGATAATTATAATCATGATAGTGATATCGCTGAGGATAATTATAATTACGATACGCGTTATTTTGCTCATATCCGTTAGATGATACGACCCTTGGTTTCGAATAATCTTCTTCGTGATTACTTATAGGCGATATGGAACGTTTCCATTCAATATCTTCATTTTTATAATTTTGCTCTTCATCGCTACTAATCGCCGATGAAATCGGCGAAGGTGTGTGCAGTGAAGCGCACGAAGCATACTTGTTTTGTGCATGATTACGATGATAATACGGTTGATGTCGTCGATTATACGAGGATTCATGTTTATCATTCGGTGAAGGAGGTGGTGATGAGCTCCCATTATTGCCAGTAGGCACAAGTGTAGTAGACCGAGTATCGGACGCATTCTGGTAATTACGTTCGATTGAAGCTTTTTTCGATTGATTATAGAAATGCGTGGTAGCAGTAGTAGTTGACAATTCGCTCTTCTCTGTAGAGACCGATGATGTCTTGTTTTTTGTTGTGGTAACCGGTGATCCATTAATAGTAGCTATCGCATAACTATTTCGACCTGGATTATCAGCAATTGCACTCACACCATTTGATAATGATTTAATAGACAAGTCAGAAGAAGCGTCAGAATCAGATCCGGTTTTTGGTGAAAGACTGCCACTCTGTTGCCTTAATTTCTCAAGCTCAAATTCGAGATTTTGAATGTAACGTACGGCTATTATCATGAAAAAAAGTGAATATTATTTATGAGCCATCTATAAATGGAATTACATGAAGGAAAATTGCACATCCCAAAACACACATAAAAGGATAATCCATACTGTGATTACTTCGTCATTTCCCCACAATTCCGGATTTTTAGTTATGCATGACGATACATGTAGAATAATCAATAATTACCTTTTCTAAGAATCACCGCTTTTGAATCACCATGACCACGACACATTGGTACGATGTTCTTTAACTCTTCAAATCCCGAGTTAATGTTCTCTCTTCGCTTTTGCTCAGAAAGAATGTGAGCTAATCTACGATTCGGTGTTTGTGAATGTGTGAGAGTTGGTGGCGGAGGAATATTGAGATGTTGACGCTGATTTGGATGAGGATGGTGATGTTGTTGAGACAACAGAGAAGTCGTATTCTGACGATACGATGATGCCAACATCGTTGACTGAATATGATGATTATGATGGTAAGGATGCTGTTGATCCTGTTGTAATATCAATGATGGTTGTCGCTGCTGTAACGGTGAATTATTCGAAACCCCATTACAATTAGGATGATGATAATATTGCTGTTGATGATTTGTAGATTCGGAAGGAATGTATGGTGAAGGAAAAATCATCTGTGAATTATTATTTGCTTTACATAATGATCCTTGTAGATTATTATCATTATTATTATTAATGTTGTTATTATTGTTATTGCTACTATTACTATTACTATTACTATTACTATTACTATTATTATTATTATTATTATTATTATTATTATTATTATTATTATTATTATTATTATTATTATTA